ACTTCCATGTTATGGCAATAAGTAATCAAGAATTAAAATATTATATAAATGCAAAATAAATTAAAGAAGCATTTGAACATGAGTATAACACAAAACAGGCAGTCATTTTTGGGTCTTGGTCTAGATTTTCAAAGGGTCGGTATTGACTCCCTGGGGAAGTTGATACAGTTTTAAAGGGGGGCATTGATGATCAAGAGGTCAACTGGGGTCGATAGCCAAATATGCATCTGCAACTGATTGGCATAATCAAGATCCCATTGCTTACAAAAAGTTATTAAAAATTTATATTTAATTGCTTATTCATATAAAGTTTCATCGTGTAATAAGGAAAAAATCGCATAAATAAATATAAAGGAAAGTACACTAAAACTATTTAATATATTTAAAAAAATCAATAATAATATTTTAAATATAAAAGATTTTTTATACAATAAGTACAATATAAAAATGTGAAACACAAGAACACTAGAAAACGCAGTTAAAAAATATGAAGAATGCAAAACTAGAATGAGAAGAAAAAACGAACTGAATGTTTTTGAACTCGTTTGAATATATATTTATCATGATATAAGAATTAAACTCAGCAGTTTTATGCCAAATGTAAAAACATCATCATTAAGTCAAGCGCAAACCGAAGAGCATTAGCTAAAACCGAAATTTGTGCAGTTAGAATCCGTGATTTTGTATCTGGTAACTTATTTATATTTATAAAATTAAAAATTGTAATAATTTAATAGATATTAAAAAAGTAGTAAAAATAATAAAACATAAATCCAACTATTTTTTTAAATTTTTATTCATATTCTCAATCTAATTGTTATCTTTAAATTATTTATATGCAGTTATTTGTATTATAATGATCACTACTCTATACCCTCATGACGTTTTCGCAAATATAATCTAGTGTCGATTTGAGAATCAATGCTCATTCCATTTTTTTAAAGCAAAGGAATTATACAAATATGCCAAATGGACAAAGTATTACGTCTATATTTCCGTAGTGTGGAGTATATGTCAGATAATATATTGCATGAATACGAACGTTAAAAACAATTCAGTTTTTTTTCCTTACAAAATGTCTATTGTCACTTAATTTTCGACAATTTTTTTAATTATATTTTGTTATAAGGTATTTCTACCGCCTTCCTGGCATGACTTCGTGGTGTAGTGGTTCTGCACGCTGGGCCGGTATTCCAGAGGTCCGTGGTTTGATTCCCGGCGAAGGCGTTCGCTCATTTTTCATTACTCCTGCTATAAAAATATCCTAATGACTCTACATTGTAACTTCCTGCTTATGCACTTGCCTTAAGTTCGATTATTTTTTATCTCAAAATTAGTACACCAGTTTTAAAGTATGTTATTGTGATGACTTGAAAAAGAAATAATTCATCCTCTTGTGCGTGCTGTTGCGCTGTAAGTATAATTAGCTCACTAACAATTAAAAGAAACGGTAGTTTGAATCCTGACCTGGGAATGATTTATTTTTCATGTTGCCTGGCCTAGAAAATTTATCCACCATTCAGAAATCTCTGACAAGGGTTCGTAAAAATATTATTTAACAGCTTAATAATTTTATGAACTTTGTGATCGTACAAAGCTGTATAATGTTCTAGAAAAATTAACTGCGAATAAATCTTGATTTAAAGTAATTGTGTGTTTTTATTTAAAAAGAGTAGCATTAGTTTCATTTTCAAATTTCAAGCTCCTTGTAGGATGTCCAGCATATTAATGCTGTAGCAATAAAGCCACAGGGAGTCACTGCCTGACTAAACTATGCTTTCCAATACTAGGCCATAAGATACCTTTAACAGCCTTTTTATTAATTAAAAAAAACCCTAGTGCACAACTCGTTCTTACAGAACTACCTCCGCTGCTTGTACCTCCGCACCTAACAGAAAATGTAAAGTAATTTAATGTCTGAAATTCACAAAGCCAATTGATTTCAATGTTTTTAAATGTGCGAGCAAATAAGCTAGTAGAAGGCTACCTCCTATCTCAACTACTTAAAGCTGGTTGGGGAAATAACATCCAGGTCAGTGTCGCTGCCGACGTTCTCTCCTTAATTTTCAAGAACTCTTTTCTCATGCAGTTGTGTCCTAGTAGGAGCTGACGAAATTAGAAGTGACAGAATAATAAAGTAAACAGTTAATTAAAATAAATCTTCTAAAGCTATCTCTCTATATATGTGACATTTTTTGAAGCTAGACCGATGTTAATTGTTTAACAAATGAAGATTATAGGCTATTTATATTAAGTTATATCTACATTTCCTGGCTTTGTTTCTGGTACGGAATGAAGCAAATGTGTTGTTACCATAATTTAGCATTTCATACTCAGAAATTCAATGCATAACAAGCAAATGAAATATTTTTAAGAAATTACTATGCCGGAATTTTTTCCCTCATTTCTTCGTTTTTTGATGCAAATCTCCCTTTTCTTATCAATTGCATCGAACACAATGCACTCTAAAATCCTCTTTTACAAAATAAAACATTCAAGTCATAAAATGCACAGGGGGCAAACTTACTGGAATTATTATGGAAATTAAATTTCTGGGAAGGAAAATGTGATTTCCTCTTTCCGCAAATCTCTTAATCCCGAATGTAAATATTAAAAGGGAGGGTAAGAAAGTGCCCTAATTTTGAATACAAGGAAATTCCAAAATCTCTTGGGTAACCAGAACACTTCAAGGGTTACTGCAACTACCTTTCTTAGGAGACGAAAACTTTCAATAAAATGAAGAAAGTTGCTTTTTATCACCATTTCTTTAAAGAGAATAATAGTAATGATATGATACCTATTCGTTTAAACTTCCACCTAAAATTTCAGCTGTATTTATTATTTCTATTTTCAAGATTTCAAACAAGTGACTTCAAGAGATAAACATTATTGAACCGACAGAAGAACAGAAGGGATTTGATTTTGAATTTGAATAAAAAATAAATAACAAAAATAACTGATTATTTTTATTGCGCACATTTATTTCCTGTGTCTTTGCATTCCTGTTATTAATCTCGTTTAATATGGAGTATTTAATTTATGTTAAATTTGAAACATTTATCTAAAAAAGTTTCATGCTAAATTTAATTTATAAGAAAATCTTCAAAGATATGCTTATCTTTGAAGCATTTATATATATATCAAGCAGATAATATTACATTTCGAAATATTATTTCATTCTGGGAAACTGAGTATTATTCCACTGAGAACTAAAATATGTGTTATTAAATATCAAAGATATACCAAATCTTTGGATAATAAATGAGTATCGTTAAGGATTTTGCAATTTTTATCTTTTAAGAATGTTTAAATAAATATAATAAACTGTAAACTTTGAATGCCTGCTATATCACAACAAATTCTTAGTTTTATAGCCTCCCAGACGGTACAGTGGTTAGGGAAGCCAATTGCGCTATCAAAGGGTCCTGGTTCGAAGCCCGAAGAAGGCATGGCTGTAACTGTTCGGCCCCTTTATAGGAGGCTAAGGTAGCACACCTATTAGGTGCCTGCATAATAAAGTGATCACCACTTTTGGCCTTAGTTAGCGGCTAAGTCGAAGTCGGCTGAAGGGCCGCCATTTGTGAAAAAAAAAGTATATATTTGTTTTTTTGTGGTATTGTGTAACGCAGCAACAATTTTGTTAACTAATTTCTATCACCTTCTCCGAAAGCCTAATACTTTATCTTATTAGACAATGCATTGCTTAGATTCAATACTTTTGATTTCACAGTTGATATTCCTAACCAAATGCACTTTTATCTGATAGACAAACTCCTTAAAAGTCGCATTTTATTAAAGTCTTCTTTATTGTCTTAATCTTAGATATACTACGACACTGTTGAACTTTTTAATGGCGAAGCGAAAACATATTTTAGTAAGCTTCTTCTAAACATCATTGATTCTGCATTTCATTTATTCTTGAACTGAATTAATCCATTTTTTTCTTTGACATTTAATAAAATATAATAAGTTTAATTTCATACTATTTATCTAAACTATTTAAATTTGCTTGTCTTTCCATGTAAATTCAAGCATCTTTAAAAAAATAGTTCTTTATAGCTTTCATACACTTAATGTTTTTTTTTCAATCGTTGTTATTCTTAAAATAAATCATTTTAAGATTCTTGCTAGGTGCGTCTTTTCTTCTTTCGTATATGAAGCATTTTAAAGATTTTCTTCTTGCTTCTATAAACGATACTCTTCCATTAAATTAACCATAATAATTTAGTTGTCAACCGATTTTCTCTTTCGAGTAGTCTAAAAAAATTTGCTAAATTCTGCACAATTTTAATTTCCATGCCAACAAATTCCATGCTATCAATATAATTCGGAATTCAGTGCATAACATTCTGCAACAGACCTAAATTTATGGGAAGAATTTACAAATCATAGTCAGCACGGTTTATGGTATAGTAAGCAAATGTAAAATTAAATCGAATCTTACATCATGAAAGAGGAACTAAATGAATCTTTCATCTCTAATTGTTGAAAATGATATACTTTTGTGTCGAAAAATAACGTTAAGACACAACAAAACATAGAGAACATAAAGATAAAATATGAAAATATACAAGTGATAAAAACATTGTAAATACAAATTTATATCAAGGAACATTTATGTAGAAAACCGCAATAATAATTCTGCATAAAGCGTATAACTATATCGAAAAATTTGCTTTCCCAAACTATTTCTAGAAAATTTGGTTTTCAAGTATGTCCTATAACTCATGTTTTTAATTAACTTGAAAAGTAAATATAATACGAATTATGCATAAATAATTTTCAGTTTAACACACCGGCACTGAGGTTAGTTTCCAACATCATCTAAATAAAAATAATCGAATATACTACTAGATCCATAAAAATATTCCACTATAAACGGAATGGAAATCATTAAAGAAACAATCTTTATATTTCTATCTGTCAAGCGCTAGAATTTGAAATAAAACATTTAATCTAAATTCGTTCGAAATATAAATGAATAGAATGCATGTACTTACCCTATGATGACAATGACGAAATCGAGAAAGTTCCATCCACTGCGCAAATAGGCACCAGGGTGGAACAAAAAGCCGTAAGCAATAATTTTCATAATGCACTCGATCATAAAAATGACTAAAAAGAGATATTCCGTCTTTTCCTGTAAAAAAGAGGAGAATATACCAACATTATTGCAATGTGACTTTTTATTAGAGCTAAAGATAAAATGTGAGTGATATCAATCACTGAACATCAAATCCCAAGCCATTATTAAGATTTGAATTGTAAAAAAAACTTTTTGTTGATAGCACATGTTTATTAAGTTCTTTATAATAAAGAAATACTACAAAAGAAAACATCAGAATGTTTTTCAATTTATAAAATGCATTATACTTAAAAATATAAGACAAGCTCAAGAGTGGTACACTAATTTAAAATAAATTAAAAGAAAAAAAATTTAAAGATTTCAGATTTTACATTAGGCTCAAAAGGGCGTTTTTTTAACGCTTTGTGTGTTACATTTATTTATTAAATATCATATTCTTCGCACTTAAACTATAAAATTCAAATAATTCAGTTCAACAGCAATATAGTGAAATAATTTTAAAATGAGCATATCTTTAGAATTTCCGATACACGGTCTCGCGGTGATGGAGATAAAAATGTTTTTCCCCCTACAATGTTGCTATTGCTCTCTTTGAAATTGTTGAGTTTGTTAATAAAAAATTCTTTAAAGTTTTACTTTACAAAATATGAAATAGATAATAAAACAAATTCCAAATTTGGACTTCCAGATGTCCATATTCCAGTGGGAACGTACGTTATTCAAAATTTGATGACTCTAGGTACCGTTATTTTATCACAATGCGAGAAACATACATACAGTTATGCAGATTTTTCATTATTTAATTTCTTTAACTATAATACAGGGCTCTAATATTTGGCGGCAACAATTCGGGAAGTGAGCTGACATTTATAGTGAACCAACGCAAAATATCAAAACGAAATTAATAGTCCTTCTTTGCTAATAAAATAAAGGGTACAGTTCTATATTTTCCGTTCTATTGAGCCGATTGCGGAAATTCAGCTTACGTTTTTTATGTCTCGAAAGCGCAATTTAGTACATATGTTAGATTTATATATAGCGTTGTTCTAACATATGTATTTTGACACAAAATCGGAATTTTTCTGAAATGATATACAAACTTTTTTTTACAGTTCAGATGTAAAAAAATATTTATATACAATATATATATTATTTATATACGAGGGTTGGGGCAAAAGTCATGGCAACTATTTTTTTCTTGTAGATATGTGAACGGATCACAAAACGTATATGTGTCGTGTGGAAGTTCTGCAGGCATATTGTGTATGCAGAACAACAGATGGCTCTGTGGTAGCGAGGGCTCTGAAATCAGTCAGTTGGTGAGTGTGGTGCGAGATGGAAGCAACCTGTGTTGAGCACCGCGCTTACATCAAAATAGCCGTTCTCCGAAGGAGAAATGCGATGGAATGTCAGTGAATTAGTAGAAACCCTTGAGAATAATGCCCTATCATATTGTACAGTAGCACGGTGAGTAGGAAAGTTTCAGCACGGACGTGTATCAACCAGTGATGAGCAACGCTCCGGACGACCGGTGAGTGTGTAGACCGACTTAGCACCGGCCGTCATCGAGCACCTCATGGATGAAGACAGACAATGGACGTTACTGGAGTTAGAGAGGGCAAGTGGCATTGAAAAACGCACCGTCCACAGGATATTGCGTAATGAGCTAGCGTCAGAATCCTTCCCCAGTCAAATTGATGGTGATCGTTGCGCATGACGTCAGCGGTGTCTTGTTTGCCACTTTGTTCCTCATGGCAGAACACTGACCGCACAGTACTACACTGACTTCCTGGTGCGACAGGTACGACGTGGTGTTCGGGATAAACGTCTGGATCTTGTGGACAGTGCAATAATTCTGCACGACAATCAGACGTAAGGTTCTTAGGACTCATTTTTAAAAATAAATTATTTGTAAGCTATTTCATATCAGCTTTGGAATTTAAGTTAAAATGCTACGAATATGAACTATATATTTATACTCCGGCTTCTTTAAAAATATATCTTAATTAAAAGGTAAAGATAAATTTTAAGATACAGAATAGAATCTTACAAACTTGCATAATATAAATTATAATGGTATTACACAAACATGATACATATATACATAAAAAGTAAAATTTAAAATACAAATGTTTATGAAAATTCATGCAAGAAATACTTACCAAATAATGATTAAGTTTATTAGAATCCATACAAGCGTGTGGAGTGTAGATAGCTAAGGCTACGCAGTTGCAAAATATTGTGAGAAGAATGAGATATTCAAAAGGCGTTCAAACAAAGTTGTTAAGGAACATTGAAAGCATAAATATCATGAAACATGAAAGAAAAGAAGCTTCAGAATGGAAGAATTTCAGTGCTAATATGATCAGTTTGTACAGTTAAATTATATTTAAAAATTAATAATATTTACAAAAATATATTCTACGAAATACATTCTTATCAATGCATTTATATTCAACTTATCAATATTTCAGCATTGTATTATAAATAGACGACAGTGCGATGAAATATAAGCAAAACAGCAAATGACGCGCTTAATTTTACGAGAGAGAGTCGAAGTAACCTAATGTGGAGACTAATTTTAAAATGATAAAGATGTATTAGTTTAGAAGTCAAACAACAAAAATCAGCGTTATATTTCCAAATTCTCATAGGACTACGTTCTATGGTTTTACTGAACCATCGAAACTAGTCCTGTGAAAATTTGAAAATATAAAGCTGATTTTTGTTGTTTGACTTCTAAATTAATATTTGTTCATCGTGTTATTGTTTCTTATTGATAAAGATGTACTTACTGTTTGTAGTGAAGTATCAATGAGCACTAGTTCGTTGCTTTAATTGGAAATATGCTATAAGAAAAAAATAAAATAAAAATAAAACAGAAGTCAATATGTTGTGCCAAATATACTTATAAGCTATTCAATCTATAGCTTAGGGTTCTAACTCCCTTGAGCCCCGCCCTAAATTGTTCCATATCCCATAACAAATTTATCACATATCCCTTATAACGGGCCCCATATCTCAAACAGCTTAGGGGCTCATCATGTCTAAATCCAGCCCTGCTAATATGCGTGTTTATGTAAAAGCACGTATCAAGAAAACCGAGCAATGTGTTTTCTATTTGTATATATTAAAGAGGAATTTTAAGAACTCAGAGAACAAATAAAATGTATTCAGGGGACTTTTCTATTTCGCTTTAACTAATTTACGGCTGGACTCTTCAAGTATGTACATTCACTTGCAAGAAATTCAGTATAAGCAAGGAGGTAAAAGAGGCGGTGTATGAGTGATTACAAGATGCGAAGCTTTTCCTATGAAATTCAGGCGTTACTGGAATGCTGATACACTTACATTGATTATTGGATTGAACTGGTGTTATGCTAAAAATGATGAAATGTTTCTGGGTTTATTTTGTATCTTCTGTTATTAAAACAAATTAAGGTTACTTGTTGAGCTTTCCTGCACTAAAAACAGTACTTACACGAACAATAACGTACAGGCTCTTTGCAGTTGTAGTATGGTGCAGGTTAGCGTTGTTCATAATCCATTAAATAATTCATCAACATCAAGAACTTTAACGAGACATAATTTACACATTAAAAAATTTGTATTTTTCATTCGCAACAATCGTCTGACGGATTGCGTTCTCTGAGCTTCTGGTAAAATGTTTTTTAGGGTTACCGTATCGGAAGCAATGTGCTCCCCATTATCGCTTACCATGACTCATAACCACATATTGCAATGTTACTATACTGATTGACTCTAAAAATAAACGAAAATTTAACCAATGCATGTATCAATATAAATGTAGTTAAAGTTTGCAGACATCTTTACATTTAATTTTAGCGCCCATATTAAGAGTAAATAATGCCTGTAATATTTCAGAGTGAGGAAATTAGAGGAATCATACGTAAAGTTACCGTTCGAAATATGAAGCTTTAACCTGACAAAATTAGATTGTCACAAAAAGTTATCCTTTTTTTCATTAAATGGATAATGAACTAATATTTTAAGCATCATGCTTTCTTAGGAAAGTTGAAAGAATCTATAAAAATAAGTACATACAGTAAAACCCCAATTAAACGATATCCAAGGGACGAATGAAAATCCTGAGAATTATTATTTAATTAAAAAACTAAAACTATCTCAATTTAATTTTAAACACAATCTATGTTATAAACAGCAAACACTAGTGTTTATATTTATAAGTTAACCATTTTTTCATGTTTTGAAGATATGCACACAGCAGAAATATCGAAAAAATCTTTAATACAAGACACGTTTCAATTGATTTTGTATGTTCAGATCAAACTAATGAAAACAATCGAGTGCAACATTAAGTCTGTATCGTTAAATAGGATTCAGAGATATATTCTGTAAATTATAATATTGACTGAATGGTATTAAGTGTTTTTACTTTTACAGAATTTCGAATGATAAGAGTGCTTCTCAGGAAGAAACTACAGAATGCCCGCAAAAAAACGTACAATAATTTATATTATATTCACAAGAAAACTGTGACAGTATGCAACTTAGGTTTAAAAGGTTTAAAGATAATCAAAGTTCCCCCTCCCCTCCCTAATAAAATTTTCCTCTACATGTGTTTGTTCAATTACCAGAAAAATGTCTGAAATATAACCTGTTACTTGAGACTACTTTACACCAATTTGACAAAGGCTTGCAGCATAGTTTTATTTCAGGTTTGTGAAATATGTCGCTTTTATTTTGCAGGTAATTTTATTCATAAAGCTCCCAGAAACGAACCCTAAGATGGACATCTGCCCTCAACGGCCAATTCAAAGTTCCAAGAAAACTAGGACTAAACAATTGTGAGCATCCAAAGCCACAACATCCAACTTCAATATTATTATTGGCATATCTTTTAGTTATAATTCTATTAAGAAATTCTAACTTCACAATACAATAGGTGAGCTACTTTATCTTGTGACTACAACTTTACTTTTTCCTACGGTATTTATTATATTTTTTGACACAGCTGGTCAAACATCCAACACTTGTTTTCATTCTGAAATAAATTCTATTTTAAGAAATCATATTTATTGTTTTTGTTACGAATAAACTATTATAGTTCTCCAGTGAAGGTAAGATATGATTATGTAATCCAAAAATAAAATAACAGCAATTGTTATTAAGTAATTAATAATTAACGCCAGTTCCACTGTTTTACTTTTTAGATTCTGCTGGTTTATTTAACGTTCCATTCTGAGATATAAAGATATATGCTTATATCTTTATGTCACCTTAAATATTTTCCAGTTTTAATATTTACAAACAACTTTTAATTCATGGCTCTAGTTTGTGCTTAAACACATTTGATGCTAACCGAAAAAAAATCATAGGTGAAAGAAACATAATGCATTACAGTTATTACAGTAAGAGCCAGATATGCACGTTTCGACGTTCCAGATAATAATTCCCATTTTTAAGACAGAGTTGACAAAGTACATTTATAAATTAGAGTTTACGTATTTCATATTTAGAATAAAAATGTGCGGCGAATTTTATTGGTTTGAATTTTATTCATCTGAAGAAAGATATTTAACTTAATTTCTTATTCTCATTAGATTCCTAATCTATCCCTAAATATCTGTTATAAATCACATTTAAATTTATTTAAATTCATTAGAATGCTAGTAAAAGAGCTCATCGTATTTCACTTAGTTTCTTTAATTCTTATACTTTCTTTATATTTTTTCTTATTCTTGTATAGGAATATATCTTCATGTATATGAAATATGTTTAATTGATATCAGAATTTTCAGTACATTATCAACTTTAAGGTAAGGGAATCTCATGTATAAGATCATCTTACATTTTGAACGATTCTTACACTAAATACAAAAACGTTAATATATAATATAGGTTCGCATAAATATATGACTCGTTAGGTTGAAGATTATTTGCAAGTAAGAAATTAAGCAGTTTAAATAAAAACCTTGAGATAATCATATTAGCTAGTTTTATCTTGAAATAAAGTTAACATAGTATGACTCAATTTAAGGAGAAAGCGATGAACTATTTTAATGTACTATTTTAAAAATACTGTATGCGTGTAAGATGTATATAATAGCTTTCAGAAAGGCATTTTATAAGATGAAATTTTGTCTTATACTCGGATTTGTGTGGCATTTTCCCTGTAAACTATTAATACACTCATTCAAAGGTACAAAAGTTGATTAGTTGCGATTTGATAGCAGCCGTCTCAGTAAAAATAGAAATATGTGCGTAAAAATGCGAAATTATGGTAATTTTAAATGATCTAAAACGTTTTAAAACTGATATGGAATAATTTTAGAACACATAATTGTTTTCCTGCAGCGGAAAGTATAATTTCTTTTTAAGCTTTAGAATACACAGCACACGACTGATAATAATATGAAATAAAAAGGATATTTCCATTCGACGATGCTAATGCAAAGTTTTCTAAGCGGGTTTTCTAATGTTAGGCAAAAGAGAGCTTTGCTTGGCCTTTCTAAGACTTTTGGGCCTTTCCGATGGGTTCTTTTCCTTTCCTTGGGAGTAATGGCTGTACCAGCTCCACCTGTAGCTCCGGCAGTCGAGGAAGGCTTATGGGTCGTCGCACCCAAGGCTTGCTGCCAGGCGGTAGATAAAGGTTTGCTATCTGCCGAACTGGCCACTTCTCCGTCACTCCCGACATTTGCCTGCTTGACTATCATAGGTTTGGGGCGTTGCTGCTCGGATGGTGAGAGTCCAGGGGAAGACGAAGAGGAAGAGGACGGAGGTGCAGATAGGTGATGTATAGTGGGGGAAGATGACCATAGTGGGTCCTCGAGGAGGTTGCTGCTGCTTCCAGCCACCGGAATGGAAATGTTACTGATGGCTAAAGGATGGCGTCTGTTGATGAGGTAGCGTGGCTGTTGGAGAGGGATTTGATGGCTGGACGAAGCAGAAAGGGAGTGCTGGAGCAGTGGATGTGGTTCCATAGGGTAATCTTGATTGCCTAGCGAAAGAGAGAAAGATGCACACATGTAGACAAGTTTAGGATTTAATTCGAAATGCCAAAAATACAAAAGCATTTAAATTAAATATTGTATCAGAAATAAAACCTGTCTAGATTCTGGAGTACGTTTTAACAAAGTGAAATATCTATAGAGAGATGAATACATCTTATTTACATCTCATTTGCAAAATGCAACAAAGAAACTTTGCAGTCAACCTATCTTGACCAAACTGAATCTGGAAAATACTGGAATTTAATGCATACTTATAACGGCTTATAACATAGTAATAATTCATCATTCGTGCTAAATATTAACAAAAATGCATCAACCATAAAAACTTAGCCATCACATTAATTAAAATGAAACTGTCGTGCAATCAAAATCTGTGATTTTATTTCTTAAAATTTGTTTATATTTGAAAGATTAAAAGAAATAATAATACAAAGAACGATAAAACGTAAATATAAATAAACCACTTTTTTAAACTTTTGTGCATATTCTTAGTCTAATTGTTATTTTTACGTTTATTCGCAAATATTTGTATTATGTTGTATTATGTTTCATATGTTGAAGAATATAGAGAAAAATGTAAGGGATCAATGAATAAATCCATTCTTTTTAAAGGGGTCGATGCAAGATGAAGAATGGTAATCCTAACTGACTTAATGGAATTTATGGAATCCTAATGGATTTTAGACAGATAGCTCTCGTGTGTTTTACCTTATATAATTAAAGAAACAAGCAACAATTAAGTAATTGTCATAGTATGCCAAGGTAGTCATCTTGCCAAGTCTGAAATTTTAGGTTTACAATATTCTCATATTATTATGTTTTCCGATATGCCACGATTTCTCTTATTGCTGAAATTATACCTAAATAAAATGACAGCGAGTAATGCACCTCGCAATAACATAAAAATTTATTTCATTTCAAGACACCGATCTCTAAATAACGTACCTATTGTTCGCCATTTTTTAAGAAAACTTATTTCATCACTGAGCACTTCAAAGGTATACTTAATGAAAAGTATAATTTTCGAGCAAAATATGAAATGTAAATGATTTAAAAATAAAAAGTTTTTTTAGTTGAAATATGCGTACATTTGATGTTGTACATCATATAAATAAACCTATACACAAAAGGTGCATCAAGTAGTTCTGATGTACAATACTACATACATATGTACATAGGCGTCCTTACCTACTTACTTTCTGCAATAAGTATTTTATGTTTCCTACGTTGTTGCTATTCTTTCAGTACTTTCCTCCCTTTCTTAACTAATTTTGTCTCCCGAAAATCGAGAGGGGAAAATTATGCGAGTAATTTAATTTCGTAAGAAAGCGGTTAGAGTAAGAACATAATAAATGAAAAGTAGTCATGGATAAACTACTGGTGGCTGTAACAATACTATTATTTTAAAGGATACCTATAGTACAATAAGAATCTAATTAAAATTACCATTGCAATATCTGATGGATATTGAACCGATATCTGATGGTAATTCAGCCCTAGGGACACCTCACATGAATGAGTCTTGACCGCAGTTTCCAAAACGGACGTCGGAGGGCATCGTCCAGAAGGGCAGAATGAAAGAGAAAGGAGGCGAACAAAAGCCTCGAATTTTGGAAAATCGTACCTCCAGCTCAGTGTACAAGAGAGGCTACACTGAGCTGGAACGTAAATAATTGAAGTAAGGTGAAAGGTGAAATCATACTTTTCGAAAGTTTTCTTGATGTGGGAACACTGGCCACATCCGGATAGCTTAACGAAGAATCTCCAAGAAATATGTTTGAATTAATAAATGCAAGGTAAAATAAAGCGGATGAAATGCTAACGGCAAAATGCAAAAACAAATTGAATACGCTAACTAAAAATAAAAATAATAAAGGGAATAGAATTTAAAAATAAACTAGCCGTCAAAGGAAAAAACTATGTATAAGAGAAAAATGGTAAGATTACGCGAATATTTTTTTAAATTTTCAGAATCATGCGCTATAAAGCTAGGGAGGAAAGTATACACGGAAATATGGTATTTTGTTGACTGAAAATACAAATAAAGTTTTTTTTAAGTTTGCAGTTGAATACACATGTGCATAATATGTTTTTAAGTTATGCAAATAATTCATAGTTAATTGTGAATAATTCATAATTTTTTTTCATAGTAAGTTCGTTTCCATTATAAAACGCTTAAAAGCTTTATTATAGTGCGGTCTTAATATTAATTGCACCCAGCTTTTCTAACAAAGAATAGTATAATAGTTATGATGAAGTTACATTTTGACTGAAAATTCTGTCTTATTTGCTCACAGCCTCAACTTTCGGTACATTTGTATAACACGACTACCTTGGCATACTATGACAATGTTTTACCAATAAAAAGGTAAAAGTTACTTATCGGGTGCAAGTTAGTGCCTTTCGCGATTTTTATAAAACAGATTCTAAAACTATCGATATTTATCCTATGTTGGCAAACATTATCAATATATAAAAAGACCATTATTTAAAATACAAATTTTAATTATTAAATGAGGATTACGTGATACATTAAAAAATAAAGCACTAATATTCGTCTCTAAATCTTTCCACAATTTTTTTGCACTGTTCTTGTCTCCAAATACACAACTATCTAATATTTTCCTTCTAAAGAAACATCAGAGAATTGCCGAGACTAGGTATCGCGCAAACCTCGGTAACACCGGCTATCTATCTAACGCCTCTCCTTGTTGTTCCTTTTAGAGTTTTTGCGGCAAAATTCTGTATTTCGCTAGAAATTTGACAGCAGTTTTTTACATTATTGACAAATCTCACAAGTGCATATTTTAAAATTACGTTTAAGGCAATATCATGATTTGTTTATAAAACCGCTGGAATTTGGAATGCGACAAAAAGAGGCATATGAAAATGGTGATGCTAATAGATAGAAGGATCTTTATGCGCGTTGTTCTCAGGGTTTGGCACATCATGAAAATTTGGCAACTTCCTTAAAGGGGTTAGCTATAACACGTAAGTATCCAAATTTCAATATTTTAAAAGTACAGGCTACCTAATTGAGAACTAAATTAATGAAACCATTAAAAAAATAATGATAAATTGTCTCTAGAAACATTTTATTCCTTAAAATGGCTCACGCACTCAGAAGTGATTTATAATATAATAATTATACCGCTTAGCAAATAATGATTTAAAAGCAATAAACTCAATAAATTAGTAATTTAAATCTTTATTTTCTTGTTTAACAATACGTCTAATTAATAACATTTAAATACATTTTATTTATTACATATTCCCTCAATAATTATGAACATTCACATAATTTCCGTTATTATTAAAAGATATCTCAAATGCTATATATTACGTACCTCAGTACACAGATTTTTTTAAATTATTCCATCTTTGCATTGTTTTTCAGAGAGCTTCCTACCATGTGAACGCAGAAACTGAATGTACGTGTTTTGAAAATTCAGACGTTTATATGTTTTAGGCTGTCTTATAGATATGTTCCTATTAGACATTTCCTTGTCTCTCTTGGCAATATATTGCGAAATAAAGATAACAAAGCTTTCCTTCCCAAATCTTTCGATAATGGCGAAGCTTCTCGAAAGTAAGTAATTGTGCGTATAGCATGAATTCGTTTCCACTGAACCGTAATTGCGAAGCCAAATGCATGCCCGTTTGCTCATAAGCTCCCCTTTCAGGATTCATATCCAATATTCTATTTCATCAGTTGAGCAATCTTTCTCTCACTGTTGAGCGGACTGTCGTTTCCAAAAGTGGTCTCCTTTCAGTTCACATGAATTCGTATTAGATGCAGAAGTAGAGAAAGGAATAAGATCTTTTGAAAGATTTCAGCTATGACAAGTTTCCTCTTGTAAAGGTTATTGATGCAATATGTCATAAAATAGATGCATTTTTCCATTTTAAAGTTGTCATTATTATATTACAGCAAGCTATTTAATTGAAAATATGCTTCGTATATATATCATTTAAGTGCAGCAGAACTCCAAACATCCGTACTAACTAACAAAGAAAATCTGTCACTCATAATAGTTTTTTGGGGATAATATATAGAAATTTGCTCATCTGGAAAGCATACAGAGACCAAAAATTAGTTTTTCAGACTAAGTAAGCGAATTAAAACCTGCAAATTATAACGTAAACTGGCGATGCAGCCATATTTGGGAAGTTTTCCCAGAACTTCAAAATCATATTTTTCTAGTCAACAGGTGCTCGATGCTGATAAGAAGAATGGAAAATCAGTGCAAGAATTAATGCAAGCAGAATCTTAATTTGTATGCATTAATTCTTGCATGAGTTTAATTCTTTTGTATTTTACACATCGTTTTTACTCGTCTGTTTTCCCTATAGTTTCTGGCAATCCTTTGAATTTTCAGGTAACTCGTTTTCTTCCACAAAGCATACAGAAAAAAAGTTCTCTTAAATTTTAAAATGAATTTATCCGTGTAGTATTTGTTTTTGTTTTACTAATTGATTTGCTCTTTGAGTCCATGGGCTCTGACTGAAAATGCGATTACGTTGCTTCAAGAAAACAAGGATATTTCATGAAGCTGATGGTTCTAAAGATCAAAGCACGTGTGAAGAACAACAATACGATGACGACGACTATGGCAACAATGAGAATGGCGATGACCTGCAAGCTATAGCAGAGGGGACGTAAACAGCTGTTCCAGCAGCAATATATCACTTTGGGGCATAGTGTAATGGACAATTTTAGACATTGTATTGTTAAAATTACTATGTATTTTTTATTGAAATGTAGGTTTCTTTTAAATAAATAACGATAGCATAGTTACCACTAATTTATTTAGGAGTATTCTTCATTTATTACATTCTTACTGTAACCATATTCTTTCAGAAATTAAATAATTCTCATAATTTTCCTTTTTTGATTTTTGCACGGTAAAATTAGCCAAAAAGGGGGGGCATAGAAATACGCCAGTAAATGCGGTGTTATTTTATGGACAATAACACCTTTAT